AAATATTAATTAAAAAATGTGACGAAAAATTAAATATTAAAATAGATAAATTGGTCAATAAAATTAAAAAATTCTAATTCGCTAGCGGTTTGATGCAAAAAATTATATAAACTAGTTTTTTCAATCCGCTAGTGGTTTAGATTCTAACCGCTATCTGCTAGTTTCAAACTGATAAATAAAAATTTTAGCAAACACTTTATTTGTAACGATTTCGAAATATATAAGTTTACCAAACACCTATATTTAGTGGTTTAGATAAAACTGATAGCCACTACCCTAAAACCACTATGCCGAACAGGCCAATATATAATTTACTTTTTAATATTTTAAATAATATGATTTATACCACATTATTATTTTTAAATTTTGATTGTAAATTTTGGTCCCGTTTATTATAATTCCATTTGTAGACCTCCAAAAAAAAAAAAAATTAAACACCAAGAAATAAAGTCCTAAGAGCAAACTTTCTATTCATCCATCTATTTATCCATTTAATAATGTATATATATAATTATTTATCATATTAGATTAGATTAGATTTTATTGTAAGGTAAAATTATGTCTATATTGTTTATCTTATTTTTTCATTTGTGTTGATTTTTTCATAATATCAGTAAATGTAAAATCTTTACATTGCATACACATGAAGTTGAATTATGTATAAAGTACATGAATGTATCATTTAAATTCTAATATATGCTTTATGCCTTTTTTTTTATGTTGATCTAACGAGAGTATTTCATAATCAAAGCAGAGTCTAGACTTCATAGAAAAAATTTAAAATTTTTAAATGTCAGGCTAATACAAGAAAATGCATGATGCACTTTTAAAAGTATTAAAGAAAAAATTAATATAAAAATATGTGCAAACTAATCTAGATCTCCATACACCTTAATCTATTCAAGAAAAAAAATATATTATATCTGTATCATATCATCTCTGCTTTTAGAAAAACTAAATTTTCAACTAAACTTCTCCTTTGACTTCTAATTGGGTCACAGAGTGACAAAAAATCAGATGAATTGTTAACCTAAACCTCTGAAAAGAATGACAAGTAAAAAGTTTCATCTTTTTATTTTTCCTTCAATTTATGGTAGAAATATGAAACTAACAAGGAAAACAGACATTCTTTTTTGCATACAATACATTAACATTGGAAGCTAATTGCTTTGCATGGTAAAGAATTGAACATCTTATTTTGACTATAAATTAAAAATTTTAAATTAATAAATACTAATTTAATTATACTTTTATGGATAGAAAACAAACAATTCTTTCCCAAGAAAAGCATATTTGACGCACCACTTTATGCATTTGGTGAGTGACAACAGATACGATCATTGAAAAAGACTTTTGAGGCAGATGTTAACAATGTATTTATTGTTTATTTTCCCAAGAAAAGCATATTTGACGCACCACTTTATGCATTTGGTGAGTGACAACAGATACGATCATTGAAAAAGACTTTTGAGGCAGATGTTAATAATGTATTTATTGTTTATTTTTATTATTAATTTATATTAAAAAATTATAACAATAAATATTATTTTTAATATTAATATTATGTTTAATGATATAATTAAATAATTAACAAAATTAAAATTATTATTTTTATTTTTTATATAAATTATAATAAAAATATATAATAAATACATTTTTAACATATTATTTATGAGCATATAAAAAATTCCTTTTAAAAAAATCTAAGTTAATGGGGGTCGTAATTTCCTATGAACATATTAAAGGGGGGAAAGAGACAGATCAATTTTGCAATTCCCAATTGGACCAAAAAGTGATGAAAATAATAGCGCCAATGGCCCCCCCTTTCGGTCACTTAACAAGCGGTGAGAGATTCCTCCCTCGAATGCCGACGATAAGAAAAATCCCATTTTCTTCATGAACCATTTTTAAAGTAGGAATTTTCTAATAGTTAGCTTTTGTTATAAGTTTAAGGTGTAATTATTATATATTTTATATTAATTAATATTTAACAAATAAAAATTAATTTTTATTTAAATAATTATTTAATTAACATAATTAATGAAAAATAATAGTATTTTTCTATATTTTTTATATTAATCAATATAAAATATAATAATTAAATTCTTAATTTATATTCAAAGGAGAGATAAAAAGCCCTTTAATATTTTCTAATTTAGAAGAACAACAAATTGAAACAAATTTTTTGAAACTGAATTTAATATAAATTTTGCTTAGAAAAATCAGAACTTTTTCAGAGGTAGTTAGAAAGCTAAAAAGAGGATGTGTCACCCAATTCCAAATAAGCTGACTCCCATTGGTCAGGTAAGTCATCCATGAATGTTGCCTACACTCATGACCACATTCATTGCCGTTCTTGGCATTGGTCTTGGTTGAGTGGTGTGATGTGGTTAACTCAGTCTTAAATTTGAATTTTACCAGTAATTTAATTTCTTTATCTTTTTATATATAATTGTAACATATAATAAAACTTAAGGTAATTCAATAATTAACAGTTTAAAATTGTAACTTAAAGACATCAAATTTAAACTTGAATAAGTGAATAAAAATTTTAAAAATAAGTCTTATATAATCATCATGATTAAATATAAAAAAATTGTAATATATAAATAAAAAAAAATCTCTGCAAAAAGATTACATTTTTACGAGTAAAGGCAGAAACTTAATGGAATTGTAGTGGCATTGTGCCAACCAACTTTCCAAACTTTAGAATCTACGCTTCAATGGTGTTATGACTTATGACCGATCCGATTCCCTCCTAATCGCGTAACTGATGTTCTAGGCTTGACTCCACTATATATCGGACGAACCCATTTCGTCCACCGCAACTCCTCAGCGACTGTACCGGAGTTATACACATCGACTCTGGAAAACAGATGGCTTTGGAGATCTGTGTCAAGGCCGCTGCTGGTGCCCCAGATACTCTTGGAGACTGTATGTTCTTTTTCACCTTCTTTCTCTTTGCTACTTTTATGAACTTGTGTTTGCATGTGGATCTGGTGAGATTATGTTTCTGGGTTTTGGTTGAATGATTATTATTTGAGGGTTTCTGTTTTCAGGTCCGTTCTGCCATAGGGTTCTGCTGACCCTGGAGGAGAAGAAAATCCCCCACAAGACCCACCTCATCAATCTCAGTGACAAACCCCAATGGTACGTGATTGGATACAAATTTTGTGTTTCTAGAGGTAATTGAATGTGTTGATAAGGTTGTATCAAATGGGTTTTTGTGATTGATTGATAGGTTCTTGGAGATAAGCCCAGAAGGAAAAGTGCCTGTGGTGAAGTTTGATGACAAATGGGTGCCTGACTCTGATGTTATTGTTGGAATTCTTGAAGAGAAGTACCCTGAGCCTTCTCTTGTCACTCCACCTGAATTAGCCCCTGTGTATGCGTCTCTCTCCCTCTCTTCCCCCACACATGCACATATCACATATAACTCTCCCTTGCTTCCTTGATTAATCTGTGTTACTTTTGCTGAGTTTTATTGCTTTGGTTGAGTTAATATATGGTAAAAAGTTCAACTTTTTGAGTTTTTTTTTTTTTATCTTTAAATAATTCTGTGGAAAGCATTTTTTTTATATTATTATTGTGCTTTCTTATAACCAAGTGTTCTTCACTGGCTTGGTTTTTCTCGACCTTTGGTTGAAGGGTAATATAGTGTTTTCTTGGGATCATTTATTTGTTAGAGAGGTCTTGTATGAATTACTTCCAACTGATTATTTTGTTCTTGGTTCAAATTGTGAGAGCAGCGGATCAAAAATATTTGGATCTTTTGTTAAGTTTGTCAAGAGCAAGGATCCCAATGATGGGTCTGAGCAGGCTTTGCTTGATGAACTGAAGGCATTGGATGAGCATCTTAAGGGACATGTTAGTAACTGTATATTTGAAGCAACAAAATTATGGTTTGATTTCATGATAGCTTCTTTTGTCGTTTCCTTTTGCTGTGGAAACTCGTACTAATTTATCCTTACATGCATCAGGGTCCATTCATTGCTAGCGAAAAGATCACCGCTGTTGATTTGAGCTTGGGGCCAAAGCTTTACCATCTTGAGATTGCTCTTGGCCACTTTAAGAAGTGGACTGTCCCAGAAGGATTAACCAATGTTCACAGCTACATGAAGGTAAACTACTGCTTTACTTTCAACTGCATACTCTCTGCGATTTTATGTATTTATCATCAGTATCTAATAGTTTAATTGGAAGGCCTTTAAAATGTTTTTCATGGGTTTGGTTAAATTACTTGGTCTTCTGCTTGAGAAATTTGTTTTGTGAGTTGGAGTCTGAGAACTGTTTGTTTGTAAGGCTGTCATTCTTTTGTCACCATGTTATTGATTAGAGTTATCAGATCAATTAGGCATGTTAAAGCATTTCCACTCCAAAAATGAAAATAATTATGCTGCAGTTCATTGTGGCTGTGCTACACAAAAATATGGCATACCAAATAGCTTTTTGACCCAATTCATTCCAAAAAGTATATGATCTCCACTTGTGGAGCCAACTATAATTTGATAACATGTGTCCGTAACGGGAACTTTTGAAGTTAAGCAATGTTAAGTTCAGGATTTTAGGTAATTTTCTGTTTTCTTCTTATTGTTAGGCTCATCCAGTTTCTAGATTCTGCAGGACAATCCATTATGCAACATTGAAGATGAGTAATCTATCAATAACTGCTTCCCCCAATCCCAACCCTGCTTTTCCATTTGCTTTCTCATTTAACCATACCTATTCTATCTTTGGTCTCATAATTATCTGAGATCTAAAGTTGATCACAAGGTGAGAATTAGTGCATGGCTGATGCTTTGACATGGTTAAGAAGTGCTTGAAGAATGCAACTCAGGCAGGGAGCCGAAACTTTATGCTGTCCAAATTTCTGGCCTTCGAAATTTAAAGAAGTTTTATAACATGCCTTCATGACCTGCCCTGCCCTGCCTCTAGTCTCTAGTCTCTATGCATGAGATATAAACCTCTTTCAAGTAGTTATGCATTTTATGGAAAGACTTAAGGAAATGGTTTGGGATCAATAACGCGGCTATTTGATAGTTATTTGGCTGATATTATCCTTTGAACATTTGTTTTCAGATAGGAAGACCAGTTGGTAGTTGCTGGTCCTTTTTTTTGGTAAAAGGTAGTTGCTAGTTTAATAATATTAAAACACATTTTCTGTATCTTTGATTGCAGTTGATTTTCTCTCGGGAATCATTTGTGAAAACAAAGGCTGAAAAGCAGTTCGTGATTGCCGGATGGGAGCCGAAGGTCAATGCATGAATTAGCTCCAAAATTTAAGATTCCTGAACTCTAATTATGAACTGGGTATGTCTGATATGTAAGACCATATGAAACCTCGTTATTCTGCTTCTCTAGTAAGTAATGTATCAATCTTGCTGTGTAATAGCTATGGTATTTGCTATCATCTCTTGTTTGAGAAAATTCTGGTGTGCTCATAACCCTTTTTTTCTTTTTTCTAAATCTGTGCTGAATGCTAAAACATCTGAGCTGAGCTGAGCTGCAAAGGTGATTCTTGAACAAAAGCAAGTTAAACACCCTTGAAACAGAATTATAAGATCATCAGCTCATATCCGGCTGCAAATCCTCACGATTACTGTACTTCTCTATCATGTACCGGAGAAATGTGTGTAAACAACTTCGTTTAGCGGTTGATAAGCATACGAAACTGTGAAATGACTCGTCACATACACAGGGCCACTATTCCTGATGAAAGTTCATGACCGTGACCCATGATCATGCCCCACATCGTTCATGAATGAATAATACCCATAATGGAGCTTTCTTTTTGAATGGCAATACCCAGAAAGAAGCTAATATAGTTTATTTCATAACCAGTCTTATAATAATTACGTAGTATCAAAAAGGTGTCATATTCATTTTTCTAACCTATTTAATTTAGGTTAGAGAAAAGAGTTAATTATAATTATTAGTTTCTAAGAAATTAAAATTAAAACTGCATATGCCATTTTTTATACATTATATGACAGAAAAGACCAATTCTTATACAGACAACAGAACACACAAAGATTTCAGATGTTGCCAAGGGAAGAACTTCCCTTCGTTTCTCTCCTTTGGCAACATGCATACACAGCTTCATAGATAATGAACTACTCACCCCAATCATTATTCACCACGTAAGCAATTACATATATACGCATCTGTTCTTTTTCATGAAATAGATTCAATTGTCCACTACGTGGAAGGTGAAATAGGGGACCATGCTAAGAGGCTCTGCAATCTTCCCTTTATAAACATTTGTAATATAGGACCACGTAGATACAGCAATATATAATGATTTATGCTGGCTAGGGGGGCTAGGGAGAAGAGATGGAAAATTAAGGTAAGATCGTTTTCCATGGTGGCGTTTTATTCGTCGGAGTTTTTGGAGGAATCAGAAATCATCTTCTGAATCATTTGACTTGTCTCTTCTTCCGACATCCGATCTTGTTTGCTTTGGGATTGAGAGTAGGCCTCGAAGAATTCCTTGTTCTCCTTCTCCAGTTCGTTCCAAACTGTGTACATTTGTAGGCCATGTGTCATTAAAGTTAAACAAAACAGAAATTCAGAGAAAATGACAAATCCTATGTACATCTGTGGAAGGAAAAAAAAAAAACTTGATTAATGAGAAGATCATAAAGATAGTCTCCCTTTCTTTTGTTGTCTTTGACACAATAGCTTACTAAGATTATGAGGTAAAAGTTATGGGTTAAAATCTATGTAAAGCTGAGGAAACCAAAAAATTGGCCTCTATATATATCTAGCCTGCTAAGACATGGGGTGTGATTCAGAGATCAAGAAATAGACAAACTAATTAATTAGTTGGGAAGAAGCTATACTTGGATTGAAAACACCATTTGGGTTGTAATATGGTCAATAAGGTACTAGAGGTTGACGATGTATTTGTTTGAGATCAGGAGAGTGGAAAGATGAAGCATAATTCATCAAGCTACTGGCATGGCATGGAGCTTAGACTTTTGACTGGTTTTAAGATCACAGATTTCTTCAGGATCAAGGTCTATGAGGAAAGAGTATAGAACCCTAGCTAATTTGAGTTGGCTGGATCTTTGAATTCTAATTCATCAATTTGTGGTTGGCTGGATCAAGAGCTCACCTTCTTGGAGATGTCTTTATTGATAGTACGGATTGATTAATGCATGAGTTTGTGGGTTTATTACAAACACACAATCCAAGTTGCATGAAGATTTTAAAGATGAAAGGGAGAAAGGAGTGAGCAGCTCACCAGTAGAAGTGATGACTGGGGTGATATTTGCATGTTTGGACAGTGCTTCCATGCACTCTTCCTTACTCATGTGGAAGATCAGACACTTCTCTATCAAGTGCTGCACCTGTATATAACAAAACATCAAAAACCCACAAAGAAAAAATAAAAATTTCACACAAGAACCAGAGCAAAGATCAGAAAACCATATTATACTTCACATAAGAACTACCATATGTATGTATGAGGCAGAGGAGTCCCCCATGATCTTATGATCCTCAACTCAAGCAAAGATCTTCCGTGATTCTCGGCAGCAGCTAAACAATGAAAGATGTTGGTGCAACAATATGATGCAGCTGGCTAGCTATAGCACACAATGGGACCAAAATATAGGGAGAAAAGGGGAGAAGGGAAGGTGGGGTTGAGGCCAGGAGTCCCACGTGGGAGATTGATGATAATTGGTTGGGAAGAGATTAGAGGAGATTTGTAAATGACCATTTCTTTGTCCTGTAGGACTCTCCATTAGAGCACCTCCTCCACGTGACAAGTGGGTCCTAAAACCATCTATGCATTTCCTCCCAATCTGCCTAGTTGGTACCATTCAACACTAGTTAATTGATTCTCCTCCCTCACAACACATACATCATAGAGGAATGTTTTAAGTCCCTCCTCTCTCAATGAATATGCCAATAAAACACCTGTGATTTTTTTGTGCTTAGAAGCTTACAAAAGATGCCCATACCTTGAACTGTCATCAGCTGATTGGTTAAAGAAATTAAACATGCACTGTTACATCATTGAGCTACTTTCAGTAACAGTTCATCAATTATGTGATTTGATAGTAAAATTATATGTACTTTTCACCTATTAATCTAGAGTTTAATATCTAGTTTTTATGTTAAAAAAAAAAAAATAGTCACAAACTTACAATGTCCTCTTTATGAGTTCTCTTCATGATTGCATCGATGTGGGATTCTATTATATCAACTCACGATCAAATTTAGGTTAAAAACACAACGTCAGAAGGTACAATTCTGCTTGAAATGCCTTTGTACATATTCCTCTTACAAGAGAAAGGCAAAATGATCTTTACCATTTGGGTCTAAACGGGCTATAAAAAACCAGAACATAGACAATTCTTTTTATTATTATTATTATTATTTTTATTTTATACAAGGTATATAATCAAAATAGCTCTCTTCAGCCATCTCAACGCAGCCCTTTGGGGAAAACAAAGTCTATTCAAATGAGTTTTTGTTCCGCTCAAGATACATAATATCTACAAGTTGAAAATTAGTATCAAAAGATGAAGAGAACATAGACATAAGGCCAAGCACAAAAGAAAGAATATTATGATTAAAAGAAGGATGATCGAACTTCTTGTTTCCATTTTGTTTTTGTTCCTAGTGAATTTGGCGTTCAAAGAGAGAGAAAGCAAAAGGGGGTAGTCCAATCAATGCAATTTTCATGGGCGTGGTCCGGTAAAGAGTGTTCTGTGTGTTTCTCCAATAATTACAAAACCAAAGATCGACAAGCATGTGTACCTCATGGTAAGTTAGAGGCGCACACGTCAGTTGATACTGCCATTTTCAGCCTTGTCTTATAAATCGTCAATTCATGCTCAGAGGGCCAGAAGCCATTGTTTCGATAATGATATCGTTTTAGATTTTATCTTTGATGTGTCGGTTGCCGATTGGTTTGGAATCAACCAAAGCAGGGCAATTGCTATGCCCCTACCCTCGTTGAATTTTGTGCTTCGGGCCTACATTCTGCCACGTACTGAGAGTTCAACTAACGAAAATGCACTAGAGATCTCCTGTTGGTGCATCATCACTAAAGATCGTACGGTGCGAAGACCCAGCACGGAAGACGAAGCACTTGACGCACTCTCGAATACAGGGTCAGACTCTATCCTTGCTTCGCCAAACCCAGTAGTGCTGTACACCCGTAACAACCTCATACGAAACCTTTACTTGCGATTTAGTGGGGTGACCACTTGGGAGGCCCGCACGAGCGAGTTCTGCAAAAGTAAGCAGCGTCAACACCCGGCCAGCCTATAACCCCTCAACAAATTCTTGCGCACCTTCCATAATGGGCGCGGCGAGCAGCTCTCACCGCTCGCTTTGTTTTCCTTACTCATTAGTTTAAGGCAGTTTGACATATGGAAGAATTAGCTATTTATGTTCCTTCCAGGACTGCACTGCATTCTTTTTTTCGATGTGGGATTGTGTATAACATCTACTGCAGCCCTAGGATGCTTGGAACTCTTCTGTTCGTTTTAGTCATTAGTGCATGATGACAACGTTCAATCCCCAAGCAAAACGAAACAAGTAACCGGAGATTGCTACAAGAAATTATTGCTCATATAAAAGGTCTGGGATTACAATGCAAATCCTATCAAGATACTGTTACAAACAAACCCAATTATCTTTAATCCCTAATTACATTTCTTTTTTACACACCCCTTTATAACATCTAGTTCTCTTTCTGATGAATTACTATAGTCCATTTATACAGTTGGAACAACTGAATTATGTGTACTGGAAATGCCTTGCAAAAAAAACCTGGCATCAAAATAATCTCTGAAGAAGATGGCAAATTTCAAGATTTCCGAGGCAACAAAGGCTCCAAACTAGGGTCGATGTTCTTTGAACCTGAACGCACATTATTTCCAGACTCCAAGTCAGAACTTGATGAACTACTCTCTTCTCCGTGTTTGAGTAATCTCTGCAAGAAACTTGGCCTGTCTCCAGGTAATGGATTTGACGTTTTTGAAGTTTCATTCAAGCTCTCCACATGCTGAAGGCAAACTTGAACTGCATCATGCACTCTCACAAAGTACCATTCCTTGCCAATTAACTCTACCACTCCAGCTTTTGACAAAGTTAGAAGAACCTCCCGGTTTGGATTGGAGATGGCTATCTGCAAAACAAAGAAAGTCATTTATATTGCACAGACAGTCAATACACAATCCAAATTCAGAATTCACCAAGTACTTACCTGGATTTCCCGTGATTTATATTCTTGATACAAATCTTTTAGAGCTTGAACAGCACTAGAGTCTATATATGTGACCGCTGTAATCAAATTAATGACAAAACATAATGAGAATCACTTTCTAAACAACTTCGGAGGTGCAGAAAGAAAAGGTCAAAAGACACATACAAATAATGTCAGATGAAGACTTACGTGCCATCTCTAAAATCACAAAATAAATTCTTTCAACTTCAGGTCCTCGTCTAAAAGATTTATCAACAGCAATTTCATATTCTCGTAACCTGACACAGAAATGCACATGACTTGAATTATTTCTTGATTTAAGAGATCCTTTAGACAACTGAAGATTTCAGGGGAAAAATAATAATGGAAGATGTGTAAGCCTGTCTATTAACTGGAAGGCACAACTCTACCTGTCTTTTATGTAACTTATGTTTGCAAAATAGATAGGTGCATCAATACGAACAATAACAATTCCATAGTAAGTATATGCTTCAGGATACTGCTTAATGTTTCTGTAAACAGTGGTACCTGGTAAACGCCCTAATATTGCTGCAGTACATTCAAAACTATTAGATTGTTATTGTGAAAAATTCAATCAACAGGACAAATATGATTGACCAAAGATGTGAAACTGAACCCTTTATCTCCAATAACCAGGTGGAGCCAAACATAATGGAGAACTTTGTCATTATAATCAAGACAAATAAAAATACTCGTGTATGATGTATTTTTATGGTCTAAGCAGGTGCAATATAAACCCTTTATATCAGCAGAAGTCCATGGCTAAAGCTTGAGGAATTGACTGAATAGATCAGCACCTCTTGAACAGCTAGATTATTGTATTATATGCCAAAAAAAAAAAAAAAAAA